GATAAAAGAAATAAAGAGAATAAAAACCGACAGAATTATGAAAAATTTTTACTAGTGTCTTCAAAAATCATAAAAGAAAAATTATTACCAGCAATATTTTTTAATTTGATTTTTTCCCCTAATTTAGTGTAAGAGTAAGTACCAAGAATGTACACAAAAAATCATATTTTAGAAATAAAAAGTAATTTGTCTAGCAAGGGCTAATGTATGTCACGCACACTACACAATACAACACTCGTAAACTCTCCAACGCGTTTTACGTGAATCTCTCGAGAACATTCTCTCTCTCCTATCCATACTGCACCTTCTTATTTTATCCTTTTTATGAATTACATTTTGAGACATGTACTTACAGAAAGACTTCAATCCACTCAAGCGAGTACCCAAGTTTGATGTTTTTTATTTTCTATTGAGACAGCGCACAAAAGGAAGGCGTTCATTGCTATAAATTGTTTTACTAAATTATTTAAAAATATGTTCAGGTTTATTTAAAAAAAAAATAAAATATAAATTAAATATTGTATTTTCTGTACCCTGTATTATGTTTTATGTGTTATTTTTTTTAAACAGATAGTTTTTTAAATACATTTGGTTACAATTACAGATATTTATAAATCAAAGAAATTGGTTAAATAAAATTTAAATAATTGAAATATTATTTATGAAAATTTTAATACAAATTGTTTAAAATCAGAAATTGTCATTTCTGATAGTTAATAAAGACATTTTGAAATTGCATTTTTTCATCAATAAATAAAATAAGATATTGTCTTAAAATAAAGTTTTATATAGTGGCATGGGAATTATAAAATATTTATTCGAAACTTCTAAGATAAATCTAAATCTTAAGATAAATTTTTAATTAAGAAAGAATAAAAAAAATTTTTTTTTAAATATTTATTTATTTTTAAACATAAATTATGAAATGTTTCTTTTAATATGTAATAAAAATCTATATATTTACATATTTTAAAATAATAATATCAATCTTCAATACTGTTTACAAAAGTAAAAAATTATGTAATAAAATCGATTTTTTAAAACAGCTTTCATAAATTAAGATTTATGCTTACTTATCTGCTTTTTCATATTTTATGTAAACACGAAAATGGAAAAAAAACCAAATCCGTATTTATGTAGGATTCTTGTAAAGAATATAAAGATAAGATAATTTCCGTTAGTAGTTTGTTGTGATAATGATGAACAATAAAAAAATCGCAGTAGTACAGTCTTGGCTCTACTTATAATAAAGACAAACATGAATATTTGAAAAAGTGTCTTTCAAAGGCAGTTGAAAATGTTTATCAGTAAGAAATTATTAAAATTATAAAATAAATGATATTAGGCAACTAATTGCACCATTAGAGGAAAACAAAGAAAATAAATACAAAATTACTCATAACAATTGTAACACTCAAGTTACGTACATATGATAAATGATTATATGTAAGAAAGTAGCAAATGCATGTATGTATGTATGATTTCATTAATCGCGTTTATTGTTAATTTTTAACCGACGTTGGTGTGCAAGCAGGTACCTAATTATTAACAAGTTCCTTATTCTTTTCTTATTTCTTTACAAGATTCGTCAATTTGATAGTGTCTTATTAAAAGTAACTTCTTTTGTAATTCTTATACGATATCAACGATATCGAGCCTACTTTTATAAAAAATATTTTATTTTAAATTATAACAATATTTGCAAGCCCTTCCTTATATTTATTCATTAATATTTTTATATTATATGAATAAATATAAAATAAAAATATATATACTAATATTTTCGAAATTATCAGAATTGTTATTATTTTTTTGTTAATATCTTTGAGACCTAAAAGCTTTGTATCAGAAAATTTCGAAATGTTTTATAGAAATAATCCATATTGTATTTCAAATATGTATTATTTAATTCTTTAAGTCCTGAGGATAAAAACTTCTTATAAGTGAACTTATGAAACGATAACATCCAGCTTAAACAAAACAATACCTGTTATCATAAAGCATTAAAAGAAATTTCATAGGAGGGTAACTGTAAATATAAATGGATCAGAAATAATCGTATATTGTAGACGTTTTAATTTCGATTTAAGCTAAATAAAAATATAACTAAGAAGAATGTTATATTAGAAGTAATTCAAATAGAACCAAAAACAAATATTCAAAATAATATTAGTGAATAATAAGCGGCGTATAATGTATAAGATATGGAATATGAAAAATTGTTACACAACATAACAAATCAAAATTATATTTCACCCTGTGTGTGTTTGTGTATACGTATGTATGTATACACATGCATCCACATATTTATATGTGCATGCATGAATGTGTATATAAACGAATATAATATATGATTTTTAACGATCTCAGAGGGATAATTCAATTTCATCTCTGACACGTAACTTTCGTTGTAATTTTGATCTATTTTTATACGATTTTGTGAATTGTTTAAATTAATTCTATATAAATTCAAATAATATTCATCTGCAAAATTAATAATTATAACATATTTTAGTTTACGAAATAGTGAATTATTTGTATCAGTATATTATGTTATGTTATAATATATTATGTTATTATGTGATATGATCTATTTTTTATGTTATTTGAAATAATATTAGTGATGATTATTGCAATAAATAATAGAATAGGTTACCTTCATGTATTTAGCCGTTTTACAAATACGTGTAAAATGTTTTATCTTGAAAATAAAATTAAAAAAATGGTTTCCAAATTCCATATTTACATCAGATAATTCATTATATTAACTATTCGATTAATTTATTTATGTATTTACCTCTATCAAGAAATGTAAGTTACATTATCTAAAAATAAAATTTCCAATTTAAGTACACGTAATTACACTTCTAAAAGAAAATGATTACTACCGCAGGCAGAATTTTCACTAAATACCTATCGCCTGTAATTAATTTATTATTTTAGTATATACGGTTTTATTAGTTTAAATAATTTTATACCTTTTTCATATATTTCCTAAAAATATATCATACAATAAAAGATTTTACTGCTTTCATGTAATAATGTTTCATAAACAGTTATTCATATTAATTAAATGAAAATTTACCTATAATCGTAATGAGTGATAACTATTTGGTAATTTTGGACCCAATCTTTATGCTGTGATTTGTGAGAATACCACTCGAATAATAATATTTTTTTGAACTTTAAAAATAATTGAACCTACGAGACTTGAAATCGAGACGTCAACCCCTCGATGGTAGCGTTTTCACTCAGCAAAAGTCACGTACCGAGCGGTGTAGGCATTAATGTTTGCCATCAACATTTGATAATTTGGTATCTCCGTTATTTCATTTTATGTAAGCATGAGTAAATGGATCAATTTATACATGTATATTTATATATGTGTACGATTGTATTGTTGATAAGAAAATTTAATAATCCAAAATAGAATGTAACGATTTCCAGCTATACAACGAGATGGTTGTATTAATAAATTGTAATGACACTCAACTTCTGTAGCGTAATATCCTTGATTTACTATAAACCTTCAATTTTTTTTTATTCGAAAGATACTAAAAAAGTAATATTAGCAAAAAATCATTTTAATACTACAGATTCAACCGATCAGGTTAGGAAATTCTATTACTAGCAAAGAACTTTGAGAATTTTCGATATCAATATTTTATTACGTAGGTTATTAAATTTTATATAAAATTAAATTATGATATTTATTTTATTTATAAAAAAAATATAATAATTATTATAATATTTTATTTTTAAAGTGAAAGTTCTCCATACAAAAAATTTCATAAATTTTCATGAGTGATTAAAAAAGAAGGTAAACGTTTTATTTTGCTCCTAATATTGTGAAGTATCCCATTAAAAGTTACACAAATGAAATGAAAAATTCATTCGATAAACGAAAGTAACTTCAACTAAAGTTTTTTAAACATTGATCAATAAATTAGCTCTTATAGTGATAACCATACAATTAATTGTTCAGTACGATCATATCCAAATCCAAATTATTGCAATTTAGTTTCATATATGAAACTATTTTATTATATTAATTATTTGAATACAAATCAAAATATTAGCATATACATAAATATTATTACTGAAATAATTTCTAATTACTTAAAGTGAACAGATTTGATCTTTTTATCCTTCCTACTATTAAGTGATAAATAAATATTTTCGTGTTAAGTTTTTTAATAATTTCAGTTAAAATTTTCTGTGCTATAAAGAAATTTTGAAATTTCTTATCATCTTTAAAACACGTCATTGAGTGAATAAAGTCCAAGATAATGGTAAATTTTATTTAAAGAAATAGTAAGCTAGTAAAGTTGTAAGTCATCCTATACGAGATATTGAACAAATACAATTTATATAATAGATTAGGATAACTTGAAATTACTTATTAAACTGATGTAACTTGAAATACAAATTTGTAGATTAACAACATTACATGTCTTTAAAATCAAATCAAGAAATCTAAAAGAAATTTACTATTTAAAATTTTATGCAATCAAAACTAAATATCTTTTATAATGCTTTAGCCTATAATTCCATACATTTAGAATCTTCTTCATTCGTAATAAAAATTGAAAAAATTTTCTGAATATGTACATATAATAATCATAAAATATTATGTAATTATGTTTAATAGTTTTTTTAAAACGTAAGGTAAAGTTAAACCGCCGTGTGAGTTGTTTCACTTGTTTGTCAAAATAATGTGCATTTTATATGGAATATAATAATATTGAATAACAATTTTTAAATCGTTTTAAATAATTTTGTCCTACAAGAAAGTGAATTTAAATTTATTTTAAAAAATCGACGTAGTGAATTGTATAAATTTTATGTTGCTGAAATTATGATTGATTGATAAAACGTGATATACATTCAAAACATATGAGTAAATACAATATTATCTGTATACTTTTATTATTGTAGAAAATATATTTTAAATTAAAATTGTATATATACATAATCTTAATATAATTTGAGATGTTAATTATAAATCCAAAATTACTTCATAGAATTCTAATAAGGAAAGTCACTTTCTTATTCGTTCAGAGCCACTTTGACGTTTCGAAGGATTTAAGACCCTCGATACGAAGTCGGGATAGTATTGGTCGATATATATTTGGCTTGAAAGGTAATAAGACTCCACGAGTTTGAATTTCTCCTGCGGAGAAAATTTTTAAAATAATAATCGTGAGTTAAATTTATTTATATACATATATATATATATAATGTTGTATTGTACGATAATGCTGTACCCTTAATGAAAATTAATGTACAACTATACAATATGAGATATTTTAATATCAAATATTTTGTAATGTAGAGAAATTTAATCAAAAGTATGTTGCGAGAATTAGGAAAAAAATTATATCCTTCATAATCCTCGTTAACTCTTTAAAACTATTATTTATAATGTATAAAGGCAATAATCAATAAAATGATATTTAACAGTAAGATATAATTTAACTTACCATCCAAAATCATTTTAGTAGCGATGGCGATGGGATAGCCGACGGTCCAGGCCATGGCCGAATGTCCTTTTGTATCGCCGTACGAGACCAAATTGATGCCTCGTTCTTGCATTCTATTATCCGGCCAGCGAATGATAATTTCGTGCCTCAGGATTATAAGGTCACGCTCGTTCTCCTCGTAAAGTAGCTTCTTCGATAGATAATAACTGAGCGTATCCAAAGGCGTCTTTTTCTTCATCACGAAATCGGTATTTAAGAGACCGAGTTCCTCAATCGACTTAGCTCTATCTTCCGAATTCAGTCGCTCGGCAAGCTTTTGCTTCAGATTTTCATAGAAAATGTCATCGCTCGCGAGGCCCAGTAGATTGCAAACAAGTGCTCGCTTTGTAAATTATTCAATCAATTAATTTTCATATTCATATATGCAATATAGTGCAACGATGTATACGATTATGAAGTATCGTAATACAGTAGTTTGAACAATTATTTTTATCATTTACAATAATTGCGACTAATAATTCCTGATTATCAATTATTAATCATTTGAAACTTTATGAAATGATGTAAAAATCAGTCATGAATTAATTTTATAAACGCACTGTTATATCGGTACTTTGCAGATTATTTTATTATTGGAAATTATAAAATCTATCTAAAGTTCACATAGTAAATAAGAATATTAGAATTCAATTATATATATATATATATAGGCATACAGTTTTTACTAAGCAATACTTTATAATTTTCACATAAATGTTTGAGTTTAAGAGTTATACGAATTTTAACGCTTGCTTACTAAAACGTTCGGAGTGATTACTTATTGGCTAAATGTCTGATAGTTCCATCAATGAAATACTTATTTCACAAAATAATACCTATATATGACTTCCATCAGTTTTTCATTCAAATCATTGTATAAAACTCTTAAAATAAAGCAGATTTATGCACTAGTGAAAATAGTTTGAATTTTGTTCATTTTGACATTTGTATATGAAAATTCTAAGAATAAAATTAATCTATGAATAGATCGTCGTGCACAATTTTTATCATAATTCCATAAAATAAAGGTTATATTATCAATGTTGAGAAAATCCTGTTAATCAAAGTAACACTTTTATTGACTCATACTCTCTACTTGTACTTACTGCTTTAATTTCATAACTTTGTTTAACAGCCTTACTGCTTTGTATACAACTTTAAAAATTTTCAATGTCCTTGGGCAAACTACGATAACTTCAAAGCACTACAAATAAACAAACAAATCCTTACCCAAGTAATCTCGGGACCATTCGGATGAAGGATGGGATGAGGGTTGGGATCGATAAGTCCAAGCAGCTGCAATCCTTGAATCCTATCTGCGTAACCGCGAAATCTGAGTGTTCCCCGCAATACAGTGTCGGCATGTTGAATATTATAAAGCTCCTTGTATATCGTGCTGTCGCGGTTAGGGAATCCCTCGAGTGCGAATCCCGGCAGGAAGTCCAAATTCTGCACCGTCGACATCAGATCTCCGCCTCCGGCTATCTCCACAATCTAGAATTTAACGTTGATGACAATTGATTGTTCCAGTAAATAATAATCTTTTACTGCACTCGTAAGCTGTTATGGAAATTCTTCTAAAAATGTGCTTGTAAAAAGATTTCTCGAGTCATTAATCAGCGACCCTTGGCGAAACTTACTTAAACTTTCAGATGAAACAAATTTATCGCGATATCAATTCGGTCGTGCATGCAGAAACTGGATAAATTAAATGAATTTTATTTTCTTGGGCATCACATTCGTACAGAATACGACATATTAACTACGCAATTCTCACCTGTCCCTCGTGGTAATACTTAGCAGGTGAAAGTGTATTCAACAGTACACCTCGTGGCGACCAACTAAACTTGTATCTTAAGGGGTTACAGGAGCTCTCGGGGGCGGGTAAGCCTCCGCACCAGGATACAAAGGACTCGATGCGTCCGTTGGCTTGTCGAATCTCGTCAAAGCACTCGAGCGCAAGCAAGTGATCGATACCAGGATCGAGACCAATCTCGTTCAGAATAGTTATGTCCGCAGCATACGCCCTGACATACGTACACACACACACACATAAAATTACAATAAACATCAATCCTTCAGCTAAGCTTTCTTGACTGGTTGCAAAGGAGAACTTATTACGCGTAAAGAGAAATAAAGCGCTGAAAGGGTTTCCTTTCATTCTCGCTATAAAGTGTTTACTACACTTGGTTTTGCTTGAAAATTACGTACGTATTGCTCTTGCATTATAACAGAGCGTTATAATTCAAAGTAGTACAATTTATCTATAATAGCAAGTGCGATTGTTTATGCTATGATTTCGAAATGTCGTCTTAACTTCCTATGGAGTGAAAGGCTTTGAAGGAAATTAATCAATAAGATAACTAATTTATACTTACTCTTCGTGCAAGCACTTGACCTCATTGTTGAGGTAACTAGCGGTGACGAGATGCTTCTTCATCTGTATGCAACTTTTGGCGATTATGTGATGAAGCGAATAGGGCAGCAGAGATACGACAACGTCGGCCCTTTGAATGACGTCATTGAGGGAATCCGGATGCTCGAGCACATTAATGAAGAGCGATTCCACGCCGGAATACTTGCTAGCCAAAGTATCGGCTTCATCCTTGAACTGCGAGCCGACGATGATGTAGAGATTTTGATCGCGGTGCAAGTATTCGACCATTGGCGACGATACGTAACCAGCGCCGAGCACCAGCACCTACGTACATTATATTATTATATATTATATTATGTGCAAGATTGCAAATTGAAAAATAAATTCAAGCAGGTGTTTGTGACTCACAGTATGGCTCTTCATGATATTACCATCCTCTTTGTGTCTGTTACGAGTTACATTTTGCAGCCTCAACTCCTGTATGTACTGGAAGTTTGGCGTGAGTTGGCCGTTGGAAACTATGATCGCACCATGTACTGCTGGGGTGAACTTATGCTCTTCAAGGGGCTTTTTCGCGTCCGAACGTATGATGTCGAGAGCATAGGGAAACAGGAGGTCGCCGAAAAAGTCGGTGGATTCGCGCGGCAGCTGCGTCGGCATGTTATCTATCGAGCATACGAGAACACCAGTTCCCTTAAAGGACTTTGTGTCTTTGTTGCGATCCGCGTCGTAGAGACAAAACGGCGTATCGATCGTCGTGCACTCGTTCATGAATCTTAAAGAAAGGGGAGAGAACTTCTGTAAGACTTGTCTGCTAACTCACGCTATTAAAACAAAGACTGACAAAGTTTGATACGCGACTAACGCGTTACTTTGAAATTACCGAAAAAGCTAAAATTAAGTAACGAAAATTGCATTAAATAATGGCAAACACGTTTGAAAAGATACCTAGTAAATTTTATACATGTATTAAGAAATATTATTTTTCACGAAATCATTTGGAAATTCTTTTGTTTCTGTACATTTCCCTGGGATGTCTTATCCCGTTATTATATAGCAATTTCAAGTTCGTTTTTTGAACAATTTTAACAATACATTTCGAACAAAAAATATTTACCAGGGTTGGATTTTTCGTATCGTTATAAAGTATAAAAGAGAAATACTTTTTATAAGTTCACAGAAATTAAATCAATCATAACTAGGTGAATTTTTAAAAAGAAACAGAATCATACATTTATATACATATAAAAAAATAGCAGAACAAATAGCAAACTTCTATATATTATTTAAATAGACTCGATTATTTGATAAAACAATTGTACATAAACAAAATATTGTTTTTTATATCTTTTTTTAACATATTGCATTGTAAGAAAAATAATCGTCTTTAAATGAAAAAAAAACTATATACTCTCGACAATCGGCTATTTGCTGATTTTAACATCATTTCTAAATGCAACCACTTCAAAATCAATGTGAATGAAAATTAATAAAAAATAATCGACAATAACGTAACTTCTTAATTCGAACTTAACTATTTAATTCGATTAAAGCATCAGCGATCGTAGCAAGCAGCAGTAACTCGTCTTTGTTCATTGTCGCCCGAATTCGAGAACATCGATCACCGTGACGAGTAGGGAGATGGTAGCGAACAATATACATGAATCAAATGAGGAAAAAAATTAGAAAAGTGCGCATGTCGTACTCGATACTGCCGCCCGGGTCGGCGGATATGTCACAGATGGCGAGCATCCGGTGTGGGAGCGCGGGCGCGCCGACGCTGATAGGAAGCCAGGGTGTGTAGGCGGGTCGCAGAAGGTTCTTGGCGTCTGGTATGGTGAGGAGCTTGGGCGAGTCCACCGCCCAGTAGATGCAGTTTATGATGACCGAGGCGTATGGCGCGATCTTCTTGCTGAAGGTAGATATATACCTGTCCGGGCACTGGTCATACTCCTCGGCTTCGAAGCCACCAATCTCTTTGCGCTCCAGGTGGTGTCGCCTCCGCACCTCGCACGCATACATCTTCGTCGTATCTGGGCGGATGGCAAGTGATTTCGTTAATGACAAATTAATTAAATTAATTACATCTAGTTAGTGATTA